ATCCTACCTTCAAATCCGAGTAATTTTCATTCTGAAAAAAAAAAAAAAACTTAAGGTGAGATCATCTCTAAGATGTAGTTCTAAGGGCCTTTTTACCAGTGAGGTAAAAAGTGTCACAAAGTCACAGAAGCAAAGAGATGTTTCAATTTCTAAACTTTTGTATCTTTGCTCAGTAAATAGGTCTGTCCACTTAATCATACCCCATTATTCTCTATCCCCCTCTGATTTATTTTTATTTTCCGTGGTTCTTATATTAAATATGTACTTGTTGCCTATCCATTGTAAGGTCCATGAAGTCAAGGACTTTATTTTGTCAACTACTTTATTCCTGAGACCTAGAATACCCTGGTATGTAGTTGCTGTGTAAATATTGAGTGTTGAAAGAAGAGAGTGGTGTGGTCAAATCCTAAGAAATTAGTGGAGATAAGGGTAGAGAACATGGTATTTGGAGAATTTGGTAAGAGCTGTGGGATGATGAGAATGGAGCTCAAGTTTACATAGGTTAAGAGAATAGAAGAAAGAAAAAAAAAAAAGAGAATAGAAGAAAGGAATGGATCTTGTGATGTATAGACAGCTCTCTCAAGATATTTTATATTCAGAGTTAGACAAAGGAGTCTTGGCATCAAGATAAGGCCTTTTTAAGTTGGTGCTAATATAACATATACGTATATCAAAATGTTTGCCTCAGTAGAGAAAGTATCGGATTCAAGTGAGAGGAGGGTTAACTAAACAAGTGATGTCCTTGAAAGGACAGGAAGGGATGGGCTGCATACAAATAATGAAAGATGGTAGCGCTGGCCTTGTACAGGGGCAAGGACACTTCTGCTGTAATAAGGGAGAGGGGAGATCGTGAAATTACGGATGCAGACGTTTGACATTATTATGATAGGACCGCCTTCATTTCTTAAGGTTCCCTATGCAAACACCTTACGCAGTTGCCAGTGAAGGTATCATAATATACCATAAATTTCTGAAGACTTTATTTCTATTTGGAGTGTGTGTGTGTGTGTGTGTGTATATGCAAGGTCATGCCTTGTATTTGGTTTATGTTTTATATATTTTTTTATTTTTTTAATTTTATTTATTTTTTTTAAGAGGCATGTATTTTTATTTATTTATTTGTTTATTTATTTGTTTAAATACAAGCACTGGGTACAGTCAGAAGCGTGGGAGGGTGAGAGAATTCACCAGAGCCAGAGCGGGGAGCAGAGCAGGCAGAAGGACCGAAGTACACTGCTGAGGGGAGCAGCGGGCAGGACAGAAGTGGTCTGTTGCACCATGTGGGTTAGCTCCCTGGCCAGGGATTGAACTTGTGCCACAGTGGCTGGCTATAGCTTGATAGTGCTTAGACTTTAACCCCTGCACCAGTAGGGAGGCCCTCTGAGGCACACCTTTCTCTAGAGACACGGGTTATGAATCTACCTACAACACAGTTGAACAGTAAATACAAGAGAGAGGTGGGGTTAGCCTCTGCAGCATTTTATAAGTTTTCCTCAGTGCTGTTTGAGATTTAAGAGGTTGTTTAGGTACAAATGTTTTTGAGAATAGCTAGGAATTTCATTTTTAAAAACAAAGTTTGGTTTTGGAACTATGTAACTTGATAATTAGGTACCCATATGAGGCATTTAAGAAATAAGTGGCGCACTGGTGGCGCAAGGGCTTAAGTTGCAGCACTGTGAAGCTAGCCACAGCCACTGCAACACGAGCTCCCTTCAGCAGTGTATTTCAGTCAGTCTGGCTGTTCTGTTCCCCACTCTGTCTCTGGTGAATCCTTTCACTCCCTGCACCTCTGGCCTGTACCTCAGTTCTTCTGTGCATAAAGAAAGAAATCTTAAAAATAATAAGATAAAGAAGGACAATAGAAAATGCCTTGTCTAGTAGAGAATATTTGATTATTATACCAATTATATGTTTATAATATGTATTACCATATTATTATACAGTTAAAGCTTAAATATAAAGAATTCTGTGCATTCTGTTGGGGCACAAAAGCCAGTTGAAATATTCCTAAATAATGCGAGTTTATCCCACCCCCCTCCAATGTCTCAATTTAGCAATGAATATATTTAGTAAGATCATTTTAAGTTTACATGATTATTTTACATCTTTTCATGAAGAAATGTGTTATACCTTGTATCCTATTATAAGGACCCACCCCATATTTTTAAATTTTATTTTATTTTTAAAGATTTATTTATGCATACAGGAACTGGGGTACAGGCCAGAGGTGCAGGGGGTGAGAGGATTCACCAAAGACAGAGTGAGGGGTGGAACTGAGGCAGGAGAGGTCTGCTGCACCATGTAGGTCACCTCCCTGACAGGGGATTGAACTCCTGCTGCAGTAGCTGCGGACTGCTTCAGAGTACTGATGCTTAGCCCCTTATGCCACCAGGGAGGCCGCTCATCCCATATTTTTAAAATGATTGATTTTGTTTATTAGTCATGAAAATGTTAAATTTTGGAATTTATATTTTAATTTTTAAAACTCCAAGAGTTTAAAACAATCATGATTTAGTCAAATTTCTTCCTTCTACAATCAATGAAACTTTGGCAGAGGAAACAGAAGTTTATATAGTGAAGTACTATGAAATAATCTACTCAATGGGCTTTAGGAATTTACAATAGTATGATATGTTTCTAATTTATGGCCACTTCTTTGGGGTGTAATAGTGACTGACTGAAGAGGTCAAGCGGGTCTGGGTGAAGGAAAGTGATGGTTGATAATGATGGTGATCTATAAGCTGATACTAGTTGACTGTTCTGAGAGCTTTGCATGTATCATCTCCTTTACTCCTGAAAGCTACTCCATGAGGCAAACACTAGTTTTTCTGTTTTGCAAATGAGGAAAAGAGAAGCAAAGGAACTTGCCTCCAATCACTGTTAGTACGTGGCAGAATTGACTGGAACCTTTGACTTTTGACTTCATAGTCTTGTTCTTAAAAGTTTTCCCTCTGGAAAAATGATTTCTCAGTTCCAGTAATAAATTTAATATAGAATAAGCAGAACCTGGTTGCAGGTTTTACTTGTTTGTTCACATAGATACACAATTGCCTTTTTTTCTCTTTCACTCAAAACCATCTTTACTACAGAGCAAAATAAATATTTTTAAATAAATTCCAGAACTGATTTTTCAGGTTAAATGGTACTCTTTGCCTTACCTGACTTGAAATACTTCTGTTGCCAGCTTTACATTCTCTAGAGTGTAACTAACATGTGGTCATTCAGCAGATGCTTACACAGTAAATTCTAACAGAATGTTAAAGACATTGCAAATTTTGAATGTCCTCCATGCTTTGCAAGGCCCAATGGATATTGCTACAAAGCCAGACTTCACACTTTGCAGAAACTGGGTGGGAGAGAATTAGTTTATGGGCTAGTAACTATGAAAGTCAAATGATTTGAAGTCACCACAACATAGTTAAAATTTGGCAATTTTTGAGCAACTTAATATAATTATTATTATAAACTGTTGGTCTAATTAGATTCCAAACTTCATAATCTGCCAAACTTTATAATCACAAAAGCCAGTTTTAACCTCACTAGTTCCCAACTTTTATTCCCATATCCTAGTGCCTTTATGTCATTTCTCTAATACAAGAAGAAATATAAAGTCAATGTCTTTATGTCTCTGAATTCAGGCATGGTTAGTGGTGATTTGTTTTGAAATCACAGTTCTTAACATTCTATTCAATAAATTACACTCTGAATGTAATTTCGGATGAAATGTCTTTCTGTACTCATTTCTTTGTTATTCTTTAGCAGAAATTAAGATTCCCTATGTAGATGTATTCCTGGACAGTAAAAGCCATGGAGTAGAGAATTGATTTAATTATTTTGATCAGTCACAACTGCTGCTTCATTGAACCATGTTGGATGGATTTAGAAGTAGTTAAGAATAGGGGAGGTCCCCATTGCCACAAGCTGGCTCTCTGAAATTTTAGTGAAGGAAGAGTGATACATAAATACTTCTACTGTTGCTCTTGGTTATTAGTTTACCAGCCTGAGATGGAAGATAGTCCCAAAATTCTTAAGCATCTGATTATAGGATCCAGGCAAGTTATTTAAATAATTGACAATGAACAGCGTAAGTGGGTGTTTGTGTCACCCACAGTATCTAACTTGATATTACCATGTAAGACTATGAGCCCACATTTTTGAAAGGAGTTTGAAACTTTAGTATAAAAGTCACTTTTTAGATATTGGTAGCGAATATGAACTTAAGAAATTATGGGCCAAATAAAATATATCTATGGACTGAATATGATCTACAGGCCAAAGATATCTGGTGGATGTTCTCTGTGATACATCGTTGAGAGTAATTTGAGGGAAGACTAGGCTTATATCATCAGAGGTTCACTCTGTTTTGCCCTCACTGGTCTTTCTTCTATTAATAGATACCACAGGAAAAAAGTAAGTAAGTTGTTTCTGAAATTCCAAGTAGGGAGGATGGTTTATCTTTTCTTTACTTCTGTGGAAAGCATTGCGGCTCTGGTAGTAAGAGTTGAATTCCTAATGTGGGCCCACTTAAAGTTCAGAGAGAATGGCGGATGAAAGCTGCCAAATTTGGTGCCCCAAGTGGGAAATATTAAAATTCATATATAATGGAAGCCATTGTACTGATCCTGTGTGTTTCATAGACTCTTCAACAGTCTTGCCAGGATGTCACTTTCATTCTTACACATTAAATATTTAGAGGGAGAATTTGCTACAAATTTAGTTGAATAGTAATTCTGCTTATAACTTAGCAGTAGCTTCATAAAGCAAATCAAGGGTGATTCAATAAATAAGTAAAAGTTTGTTTACTCTTTAAAGGTGGAAGAATTCAGAATATACTACTTTTTGGGAGCTGTCTGCCTAAAAATGACTCCTCTAACACTCATTTATCTCCCATGAAAACTGGATATAATTTAGTGGGTATTTATGTGCTTTGTTAAGGGAGATTAGTAACCTAAGATTTTATTGACTGTAGATATTTTCATAGAAATGTTCAGCACTAATGAATACATCAAAAACCATACTTTATTTTATGTATAGCAATACAATTTACATATTAAATAACACTATAATAGAATGATTTGATATAGTTTAAACAGAAGAAAAAAGGGAAAAATTTCAGGTTACAAAACCCCTCCCCTGGAACAAATTAAAAAAACCACTTTTTTCCAAATGGGTCAATGCAATGAATGTATTCAGTGACTAATTATGTCTAATTTCTATTGCACAAATGGTCAATGGAATTAAAAAGGAAAACCCAACTTTCACAATCACTGCCTCAAGGAAATAACACAATTTGGATTCTTTTGGAATGCAAAGATGGTTCTTGCTACTTCAATACACGTAAAGTTGAATTCACATATCCACCACCAAAAGAAAAAAAAAATCCACCCAAAAAACAAAAAACTATGACGAAGTTGAAACTAGAAAAAAATTAGCTTTATATGAAAATATAAAATTCTATGATTATATACCATAGATACAAAGTTCCCAGAAGATGCTTATCCAAGCAACAAAATATTTACAGTTTTAGTGATTTTAGCTATTTCAAAATGAAGGGAAAAAACACGAATCATCATGAAGGCTGAATTTTTTTTTTTTTTTAAGAAACAATGACTGCTTACTAGTTTCAAATGTCCTAACAAAAAAAGGAGTCACTACCCCAAATGTTGGAGAGTTGCAACATTTTATAAAATCGACTGTCTCCTTTTCTGGAGATGTTTATTTCTTAAAACTCAAGATATTTTTCTTGAAATTAATTATCCTCTGTAGAAAATGTTTCCCTTTGCAAATATTTAACAAAAATACTAAAAACAGTTTAACAGCTAAGACAAAGTAGAGGCCAAAAATCATTAATTACAATCCTTCCTATTTGTAGCATGCCTTCTTTCTAGAGATAAGTGAAGCCAATATTGTATGTTAAATGGCAACTGAGGGAAAGTGCAAAGGGGTAAGTGAAATTAGTTATTAAAAAAAAAGCAGGCATTTTCCCTTCATATAAAAATTCACTGGCACCATTTAAACATAAACCTTGGAACATAGGCATTGAAAATGCACTTTCCAGTATAACTGCTAAATTCTTAAGACAAACTACATTTTTGATTGTTATTTCTTAAATTATGAGTTTGGGTTTCTTTTATTTATTTATTTTTTTGCTTAGAATTAGTAATATGTATCTTTGGTAAATTGGTATTTATATCTTAATTTTTAAATATAGTATATATGCATTTAAGAAAAAATTTGTAACAAGGCAGTTGTGCTGTGTCATTATAAAATAATTAAGGTTATTTGTTGATTTCAATATGTCACTCTGGGCTAAAAGCTCCAATAGCCAGACCTTGAATGCCTTAACTTTCTCTGACTTTGCAGAATGGTTCAACTTGAAATGGACTCTAACAGCTCCAAGACATAAAATTTAGGAAAACCAATTCAATTTTCTTCTCGAAACTCAGAAGCTCACTTATTTATATATATGTAACATAAAATGAGATTGTGACTTTTGGATGGAAGAGTTCTAATGGCAACGAATGTCTTTTCTCTGATATCCAGCCTGGCTGCTGGTCTGATCATTACAATTCATTGTTGTATGTGTATTCTGTTTACCTAGAGCTAATTTTATACATTCCCCAAAGCTTATTTTATAAAATAGTACAAATTAATTTGCAGTAGCTATTTTCTTTCCCCCTGAGTGCACATACTAGTAATAACCTTGTTATAGAGTTAAGCAATGTGCTTTGGTCTCAAAGAAATACCATCTTTGAAACTCTTTGCCTCTGGAAAGATGCAAGCGTATTTTTGCCAATAACAAGTGAGGAGTAATAGTGATGATCTACTCTGGTGAGTGAGAAATTGCTGAATACACTGTCCTCAGTAATGTAGATTTGGACTGTTTTGGCAAGATGGGCAAATAGCAATCACTCATAGTTCAGTGGGTCAGGATTTGTAGACTTTGGTTAAAGTCCACTGTAGACACACGGTTGCTCACAGAGAACTAAACCGTCTTTGTAATGTTTCTGTTCTGTTTACTAACCTTTCTTGTATCATGGTACTGATACCCCTGTGGGAGATAATCACAGAATGGTTGGAGGGTGTGCATTTCCATAAACTGAGCCCTCTGTAAATAGCACAGAAGGAAATACTTGTTATGTATCTTCTAACTGGTGTTTGCTTTTACAAGAAACATTACTGAGGGACCATGAACTTCAACTCGAACATTACTTCTGAAAGTAGAGTCCACTGTGCCATCTACTGAAGTTAGCTCATATCAATACTCTGTTCAACTAAAGCAATCCACTTAGTTGAGTAAAATGACCTAGCTCTTGCCATGATCTGAAACCTCCTCCTTCCTGATCTCCTTAGCTTCCTGACAGTTGTAGTATTTTTATTCAAGTTTTTTTTTTTAAGTGTTAGGAAGAACTTCCTTGTGTCACCTCTGTTGATAGCAGAGGGGCTGACAACATACTTGTCATCTAGCACATACAACTTAGCAAACTTGCACATCTTTTCTAAAGCTTAGCCTACATGGCTTGTGAAAAGTGAGGGATTCTGTGTTGCTGAATCTATGTGATGAAAAGATGAGATTAACTCTAGTAAGTCATGTTGTTCATGAATGCTCCATTGACTTGGCTTATGTGTTGAAACCCCTGGACTTGGCTTATAGCCTCTCTCCTTAGCAGCTCTGGTCCTTCAGCACCACTCTGAGAACTTTATAAAAAGCCATTTCAAGATAAATACAACATCAGTGCTGCTAACCTTTAGTGTTGTAACACCTACCCAGAGAGTATGAGAGTAGCCAGTGTGGACATTTTGGTGGAGTTTATTAATACCAAAAAATAAACAAAACCTCTTCTTAACAGGTCCAGTTCTGGTGGTGATGAGCAGAAGAACTGACAAGTTGTCCTTCGAAAGCAAATATGCAATAGAAGAGAGCAGTCTCAGTAAGTAGATTATTTTTCTAAGTAAACTGAAATTTCTTGAGTGTTTATAATTTTCCCATTATGTACTGCAGGGTAACTCTTGCTTCAGAGGGTAAACCAAATAACTTTCTTGGATCCTGTGTAATTATCAGCCTCTTTTACTGAAGTCTATTTGTCTCTCACATCAAGTAATACAAAAGCACATAGTCATTTCCCTCTTTTTTAAAAAAACTACTTGAAAATGTCAGTGTCTCCTTTCATTCAGGATTCTAATTTTTCTCTTTCCAAATCATATTTGTCCATGTGTGGGAGTTTAAGTAGTCCCAAGACTTTTGCTAAAACAGTATTTCAGTTGTGCTAGTACAGTGTATGTAATTGAGATTTATCATGAAACATTTGGCAAAAAAGGAAAGAAAAGAATGTTATATAGGTAGTTGTTTTTTTAAATTAGCTTGCTGTATGAGTAGTAGGGATATTTTAGAAGACTAGTTTGAAAACTACACACCTGTGGAAATTTTTATTTTTTCCACCTGTTGTGAGGTATGGTATTAAAGCCAAGAAGCATTAATGGAGAGTCACTAAAGGGTTTCTTTCATAACTGAGTCTTATAAAATATTGCCATCTCTCTTGTAAAAGATAGCCCTGATTTTGGGGTATAGCTATTTCATAGAGTCACAATGGAAATAACACACACTCTCCACATAGCTACTGTGAAAACCGTAATACAGAGATAGCCTTTATTTTGACACAATTGGGCATTAATTTAGCTATGAATATAATTTTGTAGCTAATAAGTGATGTTCAAAGGAAGCAAATCTGCAGCTTTCTAATTTCTTAACGGGTTTCTTCCATCATAAATGGAACTGTTTCAAGGCCATGTGGTTGATAGACCCTCTGAGTAGCTCCTGATAACCTGCTATTCTTGAAAATAATGTTCAGCCACTCTATTAAAATACAGAACACATACAGTATTGACTAGTGCCTAAAAAAACAGGACTGAGAAAAGTACAGCACTGCCTGCTCATAGAATGCAACTGCTTAGCAATAATAATAACAACAAAATCAAGATTCACTGTCATAACCAAGACCTTCACTGTATTGAACTAAAAAGTAGCATGTATGTTGTCATGGAATGTCACATCAGGGTTTTGCTTTAGTATTAGATTATAGGCAGTAACACTGATCATATAGTGCAAACTAGGTCAAACTGTTTCACTGTGTGAAATGAACAGAGGTGCAAATGCTCAGTAGGATACCATTAAGACATAAAATGGCAAAAAATAAATATCAAAACTTTTATCAGTGTAAAAAAGTAACTGGGTTATTGTATAACCTAGAGTCTGGCAAAAAAGGCCTCAAAAAAGTTCTCAGTCTTCAGAAGTTTTACAAATTAAGTGCCCTTTTACTAGTCCAATCACACTAGAGATTCCATGCTCTCGGCGGGGTCCGATTCATCTGCAATCAGAACAGCACCATTTTTGTCCACGGTCATGGGGCCATTGCCATTTTCCTTAGTGCTGACCAAGCTGAGCATTGCTTTATAGACAAACTGGTATTGTTCCTGAAAGACAAGAAGAAGACAGTTTGAACCAAAGAACAGCTTCGGCATTCCTTCTAAGGTAAGATACAGTGATTAAAAATATAATTATGAAAAACATACCACAGATAGAATATACGCTTATGCTAAGAAACTTGTAAACTATCACTTGACGCCTTTTAATCAAGCCCTACAGCTTTGTGTTCTTTCGGTTTCTGTTAGCTTGCCACGAACTCTCAATGTTGACAGTTGATTAAGAAAACAGAATATCCTTATAACCAGGAAAGACTATGCTATAGAAAGTGGCATGTATCAGCCTTAGCACAGCTGCATTTTGGGTCAGGTGATGGCTCACTGTGGAGGGCTGTCTCACAAGCTGTGGGAAGGTTAGCGGTGTCTCTGCACTCTACTCACTTGATGCCAGACCATCTGTCTCAGCCCCTAGTTGTAACAAACAAAAACATCTCTGGGCATTGTCAGACATCCCAGCTGAATTTCCACTGATGTTGAACAGGTTTCACAAAGAAGCAAAATACTTACAATGTCTGTGAATACTCCAGGCCTCATAAGATTGATCATTTTTGCAACCTGGAAAACATCCACAGCATTTTCATTCTCCAGTTGCTGGGACAGGGTGGTAAGGGCACACAGCATGCCTGCTGACACTGCTCCATACCTTCGTGAGAAAAACAATGTTATTTCAGATTTACTAAGGGACTGAATATATTGGAATCACATTTTCATAGAAACTAAGCCAACTGTATTGTCACTGATTCTAGTACATAAGAACAGATGAAATGCTAGAGTGGGGGAGGCTAGCATAAAGTGGACATGGGTTTATGAGTGGGAAATCTCCCACACTGGTTTATCAGATGCTAACACTGAGATCTAATGTAAAATGAGAGGTTCACAGTTAGCCCTTGGAAAATTATAGCTATAGCAGCTATCGAGGGGCAAGCTGAGTGATGTCAGAGGACAAATGAGAACCTTAACTGTAGTATTAGACAAAAAAATTGGTGTACTCAGAATTGTTACAATTCCAAACAGCTAAACTGAGCTTATGAAATATGAATTAAAAAAATGGCTCAAAATGTAGCGAGAATTTTCAAAATGAGTACCACATTGAGTAATTATTTTTGCTACTGAAGTAGAGCTTTGAAAATAAGAGCACCTTCCATGAAATTCTTTGCTTGGAGAAAGTAGTAGACTTTTTCATCAAGCCAGGGTAGCAACTCCATTTTTTCCCACAGACACTTGTGGGGGCACAAAATTTCCATATTAGGAATGAGAAAACAGATGCATTAACTAAATTGTTCAAGGTGGTGTTACTAGTGGGTGGTAGAAATGAGACTAAAATTTAGATGTCCCTGTCAAGTGTCTGTTAAAAAACTATTAAGTATGCAGTTTCTGAATTTATTCCTATGTAAAATAAAAACATTACAGATGTTTTCCATCTTTAATACAATTAAGACTAAAAGCCTCCTAAACGCCACACCAACCTCTCTAGAGGTGAAATCTCTCTGGAGGTAAAAATTGTTAGGCATTTAGGTGCAGCCTTGTGGATTCAGGTTATCAGTACATGTCCATCCAGTTTATTATTTCATACTGCAGGCATATCAAACTCACTCATTTCCCTGTGGATGGACAACATTTAAATTATATGTATCTTGTGCAAATTAGCAGAGGAAACACGAGGCGATGGTCTAGGTTGAGGTACAACTATTCCTAAAGATGTTGCTATAATTCTCTCCCAAGAGGTTGTTTCTTGTTCAAACTCCTTCCCCCGGGAGAATACAGTTCTGGTTTCTCCTCACTTCCGCCAGTCTGATTCATGAAAAATTGTATCAAACCATTCCTTGATGACCAGGGAAGTTGAATATCTTTTGATGTTTTTTTAATCATCCATATTTCCTCTTTTGAAACTGCCTGTTCAAACACCTGGGTCATTTTTCTGTTCAGTCAGTATCTTCTGAATGGATTCACAGGAGGTATATTATTTAGAGTATATATTGCAAGTATTTTCCTCTCATCTCTAGTCTGTCTTAAAACTGTGGTTGTTTTGTTACACTTAAAAATCAGTTTAGATGTAATCAAATTTAAGTCTTTTTTTTTATTTTGGGCCTTTTTCGAATTTTGTTTGAGAATGTTTACTCTAGTCCAGTATTTTAAGAGGTACTCTCCTACACTTTCCTAATTTACTTTTTGCATTTTACTAATTCATTTGCATCTCATTCTTCTTTTGATGTAGAGTAGGGTCTGATTTTAGTTGTTTTTCCAGCAGACAACCAATTGTTCTAGTATTTTTTTTATTAAATACTTTCATCTTTGCTCATTGACTTGAGCTGCCTTTTTATCATACATTAAAATATTACATATGAAGGCCTGTTTCTAAACTGTTTTTGCTTTTTAGACTTTTTGCACTTGCATACATTTAATTCCTGTAGGAATTACATTTGAGTAAGTCCTGATGTCAGACAAAATGTCCACGACAGTTTTGGCTGTTTCTAAATTTACGAATTCCTGTTTTTTAGTGCTTCACACATACATATTTTCATTTTTCACTTGTGCCCTCTTTGTCAAACTTCACTACCTTACCACCCCATCCCATCCTGTTTGATAATATTCTGAAAATATTGTCAAAGAACATGAAGATTTGGAATTTTGATTAGGTTCCAGTGAGTATACTGATGGGTCCGAGGACATGAAGTTTTTCTGAGTTTTCTGTTCAGGTACATGTCTCTTCTCCACGTAATCAGGTCTTTTGTAGCCTTTAGTTAGATTTAGTGGTTTTCTTCATAGTCTTTGCCATTTTCATTTTAGGTTAATTCCTAGAATGTCACTCTTAAAAAAATGGCCTTTTATGACATTTTCCCTTTAGTATCTAGCCTACGTATTAATTGAAACCAATGTTCACAAGGTGAGCTTGTAGACATATTCTAAGTGCTAGTACTTTGTGGATTCCAATAACATCTTTAATTGCCAGTAATGTCAGTTTAGTCCCTTTTCAACTTTGATGCTTGTCTTTTGTTTTTACCAAACCCCAGTAGTTCTGTATTCTAACACTGCAAAGCACTGTGTTCTTTAATGATACATCTTCTGTTTTCTGAAATAAATAAAAATGTTTGCAATAGGCTTCTGCTAAGGTTAAGAGGATGCTTCCTACTTTCTTGGTAAGAGTGTTTTCTTTGGGCCAGGAGGGTAATGAATGGGTGTTATTTTCATGTATGCTTTCTAACATCTATTGATTTTTTTTTTTTAGCAATCCCTTTAATAATGTTCTGAATTCACTTAGGGATTTTTCATAGCATTTAACCAGATTCACATCCCCACGATCTTTTCATGATGTAGAATTCTCTGAATATAACACAACGGGATTTACCTGATGCTATTTCATTTAGATTTTTGTATCCATCAACATTGGTCTTTACTTTGCCTTCTTGAAATTCTTAAATTTTTAAATTATTTTAAACTTCTGTTTTATTATTCAGCAACCAAAGGCATGGTCAAGATTTAGGTGGGCTTTATCAGTTTGAGACCTCATTTTTTAATTGTAGTTCTCAGGAGTCACTAACATGTATTATGTTCTTAGTATGTGCCAGGTTGCCCTATTGGTACTGAACACACACCAACACAATCCTCACACTAATCCTATGATGTAGCCCCATTTTGAGGTTGAAGACACAAAGCACATCCAGGTGCAATAACTGGCTATCATTTCATATAGCTCATGAGATTAGAGCTCATATTTGAGTTGGCTCAAAACAGAGACCAGCACATACTATTTGCTGAATAAATATCATTCTGCTTATTATAGACTTAAAACTTATAGAATTACAGTTTCAAATGTGTATTTTATATCCTTTGACACAGCTACAACAATCAGCTCTACCTTTCCCCTCCATATATTTTGAAGCAAATCCCAGGTATTCATTAATATTTTAGTATACAATTTTAAAAGATAAGGACTTAAAAATAAACATGACATCTAACAAAATTCTCAAATTTTTAATTGTAACTATGATTTTCTTAATTAATGCCTGCTCTTTTTTTTTTTTGACATTTTCCAAAGTTGTATCTCTTATTAAACTTTATTGCTTAAATTTTAACATTACCTCCCTGTCCCTATTTTCATTACTCTCTGCTTTTATCTTTTAATTGCTTGAACTTTTGATGGCATGAGCAGATTCCTATTCTAGCTTTTTTCCTTCAAAATATGCTGTTTAGGTTATAAATTTTTGGTTCTGAGTGTAGATTGGCTCCTATATGGTTTGGAAATGCAGTGTCTTTGTCATCTTTTAGCTGTTAGGTACTTTGTAATTGTAATTATTATCACTAGTTCATCTGTACATAATTCTAGGTATAAGGATTTGGAGTCTGATTTCACTGGTGGTTTCTCGTATTGATGCATTATAATCATTGAATGTGGCTCATATAGTATCAGTTTTGGGAGGGGATGTATTGAAATACCTCTTACGTCAATTTATGTAAAGAAACTATTTGTTTACACAAAGAAAACCTCTGTCATTATTTTTTCTCTCCACGGATCACCTCTTAGATAGGTTAGAACTTCTATATTTAGCTTACATATACTTTGCTTTCAGCTTTGTTCTTTCCACTAGCTAATCTCATTTTTCCATTTCTTAGGCTCTAATTTGTTCTCCTGTTACATGTTTTTAATTCATTTCATGCAGTCTTTAGATCTCTGAGGATATTATAAATCCTGATTGTTCCGTTAACTCTGATTCTATTTTTTGGTTCTTATTATGTTGTCTTTGCTCAGATTTAAAATTCTACTGAGTTTGCCTTCTCATTTTAGCATAGCTAGATTTTTTTTTAAATCATCTGTACTGTTTTTTTTTTTTTTTTTTTTTCCCCCAGGAGGGGAAGAATTTAACCTTTGCTTAATCTCTTCTAATGAAAGGTTAGAATCAGGATCTTTTTATTATTCAACTCTCTTTTTATTATTCAACTCTCTAAGCTCTCCATAGTCAGGTAATATGTATTTCATTGTGTATTGTGCACTCCTTATGGGATTACTCTGGCTTTTCCTTGAGCTGGCTTTTCTATATTTAGCTATTCTTCCTGAAGTACCTAAATTAAAAGTACTTACACAATACAATTTTAAACATGACTGGAAACTAAGTCAAATCAATCAAATGCAGAGATAACTTTTAAGTGTTTTCTGCATACCAAGCATTATAATTAAAGAAAAACTGAAAAAAAAAAAAAAACCCTCAAAAATTTAGGAATGAAGTAGGATTAAAAGATGTTTGTCAGGTTTCATGGGTTTGCAATTCAAATGACAAGGTAGGTTTTGGTGAAAAAGAAACAAAGTAACTTATTACCTAGATAAACGAAGAATAGTGTATAATTTCACTGGCTTTTCTTAGTTTATTTGCTACTTTCTCAGAGGTCTCCACTGAAAGTAGTGCTTTTATATAAAACATGTAACAGGAAAACAGATTAGAACCTAAGAAATGGAAAAATGAGACTAGCTAGAATGGACAAAGCTGAAAGCAAACTAGGATATGTAAGTTAAGTATAGAAGTTCTGACATATACTTGTAACTACTACTTGTATAATATACAAAAAGTATTTTCATTTTTTCCCTTCCTCAAGGAACTTATGAAAGAAATGAAAGTACTTTAGCTTCCTCATGTACAAGGTTTATATTCATCTTAAAAGACACTGGGCTCCTAACATAGCCAGTGTATATAATATCTATGCCTAGCGAATCAATTTTTACCATATCATATAACTGCTCAACTAGGGAAGGAAAACAAAGTTAAAGATTAAACAAGTATCAAAAATGGGGAAAATGGCATCATCAAGCCTTCTATGGGACTTTAAATGGTGGCTGGAAAAGGCTACTGAGGGCCACTCCTTAGTTGGGCCCCATACTTGGTTTAAAGCTCTGCTACCACCACCTGAAAATTATTGTGGCTCTGGTCTTAAAATTTTGACACTAATAATACAGATCAACCTCTGAACAGAATTGTTTTTAACATATGAGTAGAAGATGCTGGTGCCTGTCCTCAAAAGAAATTAGCTTACTTTCTGATGAGACATGTTATCCTGAGATCATTTATCTTGTAATTATCATTATCTAGAAACTTCATCTACCCTGCACACAGCTGAGGATACAGAGTATAGGTGTTGAAAAGATCTCTGTGATGACAGATGTCACATAGTTTGTGTAATCCAAGTTCAACTCTTGGACTTACATAGGATATACTGAAGCCTTCTCTCCAAGCCTGTTCACTTCTGCTTTTGTCAGAGCTTTAAAACTTTATCTAAATTGGTTTTATAGTTCACAGAATCATTTAAACAGGCAAAATGACAGAACAAGAGCAAGATGTAAGGCTTTCTGGAGACAGTTCATATAGGGGTGCATATCTTTAATTCACCACAGTTTGAAACAGTACCCCTTCATACCTACATTTATCCAGCACCTCAATGTGCCAGGCCATGGGCTGTACCCAATAGTTATGAAACTTTAGTGAAATATTTACTATTTATATTCATTTCAGTTATACTTAATAATTGTTACTGAAATATCAAACTTCAGAGAGCATGCAAGTTGACTTACCTTTCTAGAACATACCACCTAGGAGAATATGAAGCTTTGGGTTTGATATATTAAAATAAAAACATAGCCAGAACACCTTCCACATGCACACATTAGAAATAAGATGCAGTTGTCACAGAGGGACTAGGATTTTAAAAAATGCCCCTCCCTTTCTACTAGTATAGCAACACAACAGGAATATCTGACTGTGAAATTAAGAAACAGATGCATACTCATCATGAACAATGGTGGGGCCATCCCTTGTTAAGGCCTCTTCCTTGATGACGTTGATCAGTTCAAAGGTACTGCTTATGGGAGCATCTGGGTTAGGCCATTTGGGACACTGAAAGTGCCGAACTTCTAGGACATAGTCATCCTACAAGCAACACAACACAAGTCACACAGCAGCCTTTATTTCATTATAGCTGCAGTCTAATGACTAAGACATGCTCCAGAGAAGCTATTATTGATACCTGAAGAATGCTGGATTTAAAATGGCTGGCAAGAAGTAAAATGCTAGAGCGGTGGCCTGCCATAAAATAAGGAGCACATCATGATAGTGAAAACAATAGAATGCTATTTTGTTCAGGTAGAATGTCACAAACAAGACTTTATATCCTACTCTTATCTATGAAATTATAAAAACACATGGAGCTCATTTACATGACCAGTGTAAGACAGTTCCTGTTCCATCCACCCCATTAGAAGATAATTTATTACACATCAGACTGTTCACTAAAAAAAAAAAAAAACAAAAAAAACCCAAAACACAGTATTACCTCCGCAACACATTGCAAGGTTTACAATTCTGATGGCAAAGAAAAATGTTTTTATAATTAGGTCAACAGACCTATTTGTATGCATGCTCAGCCACAGGAACTGATGTTTCATTTATTCAGCTGGAAAAGGCAAATATTTGAAGAAAAAGAAATGTACATATTTAAAGTTAAGTCATACTTTTGCCTGGGCTTGTCTTGAGGGTAACAAATTACTTCATTACTATTTAGAAGAATGATCTAGGACTAAGGTAGGGTTATTGCTGAGGAACTGAGGTTCAGGTTACCTGTGTAGCTTCAAGGATAAAGTCATGGATGATAATTTGTTCTTCATTAGAGAGGCACAGTCTGTCTTTGCTGATAAGGGTGACGGTAAAGGCCTCACAGTTCATGGATTCTTCTCGACTTGGCCAGTATACAAACTCATCTTCTGCCTATGGGAACAACAATGACAATTTTTCTGTATTGTTGTCAAACATTTTTAAATTTTCTTGCAAAATGATTCACTTACCATTTCTCATACCTCTTCCAAGTCATCTTTTAAATTGGGTTCATCAAATTATATCCCTATCTAATCATAGTGAGTTCAGTTGTTATCAAAGCATAATTTTACGACAGAAAACAAGAACTATTTCTTACAACACTGGAACCACCCCAAATGCTTCCTCCATAGGGGATATATTCTCTCCAGTTGGGAAGTACTCTGTTACAGATGCTCTCTTTTCCTATGACAATTCTAAGTCAATTAATTGTAACCTATTTCCTAATTGCTTAAGCAGTGAAGATATACTAATTGATAACAGTTCCACACTTGATTAGTATTTTGCTAAGGACTCAAACATCTACTTTATTTAGTATTTACAATATACTAGGTGAGGTGAGGGAGGGTTATTGCTATCATCTGTCTTTACAGACGAGGACATCAAGGCTCAGAGATCCATACTTTAAACTCAGCCTGGTAATAAAAGGTAAGTAGAATCTTTTTGGAAAGAGGTGGTGCCTAAAAGTAAGTTAACTCTCAATGTTAGGTTTCAGAAGAGGAACACTTAGAAAGTTTCTTGGTCTTTTATTAGGCAAGCTTTAAATGTTCATCTATTTTAAGGGTAGAATATTCAGACTTGGTACTTAAATTCTATCTCTGAAAACTAGGGAGGCCTCAGAAAAAGTTAATGGTTGCACAGGCTGGAAACTTTTGTGAGAAATATGATGATGATAATGAGCATCCCCACCCCTTTCCCTAATCAATTCAAATGGTAAACTATAGTTTGCCTGTAATATATAGATTTTTCGATGGGCATTTTTCTGAAAATGCTTAGCTACTAGAGAAGTCAGAAATAATTCTGAATAATGTTCAAAACAAAGAAGGTTTTGTTTAATCTTACATTGTTGCATTAGAAATGAGCCAACAGTCCAATAAGACTTATCACCCTTTCAAGTTTCAATATAGCTTATTGCCAAGTACATTTTTATTTTTAAAGCTCAGCATAAGGGGAAACAGATTAGCAATTGGGTTTAGTCTATACAAAAGAAGTCTGTAACTGTCATGAGTTTTAATTCATTTGGTCCAAAGGACAAGGAAGTAGGGCCCTCTTGACATAAAGTTACTTTAACCAACGCGCACAAATTAAGCATCGGATTGGATGTGATCCTGAATAAATTAAGCTATCCAAGCCTCAATTTCCACATCTGAAATGTCAGAATAACAAGGGATTTAAGTAATAGTGAAATAAAGGCAGGAAAAAACCAACTTGAATCTAACTAGAGACTAGGTGCTCATCTTGAAAGATGATGAAAAATATGTGCTACTTCTTAAATGGAGGAGGCAGTCTGGTCTCATGGTTACTTTGCTTAAAAATGTTTTATGTGAATGAACAGTGCTTTTTGAGTTAGGAACCAGTGGCTTTGGGGCTAAATACAGGACTGTGCTCTTGGTAAAGGGATAATGGTGATTAGTAATGAAACAAAGAATCCAGAAACATCATCTTTAGGAGAAACTATGCTGACAAATGTGACTTCAGACCCTGGAGCTGAGACACCACAGCGTCTGTACCCTTGAGTCGTATGGTTCAGACAAGTCTCGTATCCTCATTGTCCACAGAACATGGGTCGACGCTTTTGGAGACTGTCCTCTCTTAAGTGACAACAACAAAATACTGACTCATCCAACAAATGAATGTTTTAACAACCCTACATGCCTCCAATTTCCACATGCCAAACAGAATAGACCCCTATTGCCAGCTAATTTGAAAATTTACACTCCAGTTTTTAGCTTGAGATTCTCAACTTTGTTGCCATTCTATCATACAGAAGCAGTCTTGGTAATCTGAAGCTGGAGCAAAATGCGACAAAGTGAAGAAGTTCCTACTGACTGGGCACACAGTCAAATGCATGTCATCAAGACTAGGTTCAATCACATGCTGTTCTATCTTGATTGAAAAAATGCACTGATCTGACGCTCATGGAGGCACATCCCCATTGTTTTGTTTTGACTCTGCCGGCTTACAATGTCCTTAGAGTAACTTTTGAAGACCCAACTAATTCTGAAATTTAAGAATGTAGTAAGATCTCAGCACAAACATTTAAGCTTGCTTTTATAAACCTGTTTACCCTTTTCTCCTCTAGTCTGAGAGCTCAACAGCAAAGAAGTAAAGGGAAGAAAAAGTAGTAGCTCGTTCAAAGTCTTAAGAGCACCTTTAAGTTAGAACAAAAATACGCTTTATCTCCTTCTATGTCATGATCTGACTTGCCTATGGAATGGAGAAAAAAATGATACGTTATGAGTACCTTTGATACAGAAAAAATTTTGACTGGGACTGAGACATATACTACAGCAAAATGATGGGACCTTGAGACAGGTGACTCAAGGACAAATCCTAGGCAGCTTATTTGTGTATACCTCTGGGCAAGTTACTTCCTTCAGTATTCTTAGCTATGAACAAGATTGATAATAGTACCTATGCCCTAGTATTAGAGGGTTAAATGAGTTAAAAGATGTAAACATGGTGACATAACTGTTAGCTGCTGTTTTCAAGTGACATAGTAGCTATTAGGTTAATTTTTCAAAACCACCTACTGCATTGGCATGTACAGTACAATTGAGGGGTGATATCACCAGCATTAGAGAATCAAGCCAGGGAATGGATACAGACCGGAATACTGAGACTGAATGGAATCTTTACAGGCTTATACACCATCCCTGTGGCAAGGTATCAAAGTAATTTATGCCCTGGCCTCACAGGCTCATTAATATATAGCAGATGTGCTTTACTTACCAAGCTCTGGTTGTCTGGCAGCATGACAATGATCTGTGCATTATGATCCCAAATCATTCGCCAGAAATCCTTCGTAGTATGTGGCAGAGGATGCTGGGTTATAATAAATTCATTGCTCCTATAATAGCCCTTCAGTTAAGAAAACCAAAAAAAAAAAAAAAAGTGATTATGTGTGTTTTATTCTAATCCTGTGGTAGTAAGATATATTCACAAAATAAGACAGCATTATTTTGACTGCACTAAAATAATTGAAGGCATTCAGCACATTTGGTTAATTTTAAGATGTACTTCTGCTAACATGTGTAGACAATTTTCTCTGCACGTGCAATTCACTTCTAGTTACCCCTGCTGTTTTTACTTAACAGTAATTTCAACATGCATACAAAGATGAAATGGGTGAAATTAACAATAAAATTAATTCCTTAACAAGCATTTTTGTCCCCCCACTGACTCTGTGTCTTTTGTTAAAGCTTTCAAGATACAGAAATCTCTATCATTTTGATATTACACATTGGGAAATTATTTGAGAACTAAAATCAGTCATGTAGGTGGTATCTGTTCTTTAGCACCTTCCTGTTTAATTGACTTTATTTATAATTAGCTGTTGACTCTCACCATGATATAAGACGCATTAATGTAATCTGTTCCTTTCATTCCAGGCAACGGTGCAAGCCCCACTCGAGCACGCTCGGCTATCATATGGAAAAAACAAAAACACCACGTTTGCCTTCTTATATACACAGGACCCACCGCACTTTCTGAGATTGACTTGGTGAGTAATATCTCTCCCTGGCTCCCCTTTCTTTTTAAGAGTCCTCAGCTGAGGCAGAATGTAATATGAAATTTGGCTGCACATTCCCAGAGGACACAAGCATTAAGTTGGACTATGGGAGAGGCCTGCACAGCAGAACACTAAGAATACTCTGTGCAAAGATGACAGCGGAGTTCAGATAATTTTTGACCCAGGTTTGATTTTCCTACAATTACACAAACACAGTATTTTGATCTCTGCCAACCCCTTGGTCTATATACTTCTCCCCGCAAAGGGCTTAGAAAACAGTGGTCTTTTCAGTAGATAATCTCTCCAGTGATTACCCAGGCCTGTGTCTACTATACACACATTCTCCTCTGCTGTCTCCTGAGGTATTTATAAAAAGGTCACCACCTTCCAACAGTGCCTTGAGCTCAAAAGCCAGAATAATTGAATGATGTAGTTCCAGGTATATAGACTAAGCCAGAGAGCAATTCCACACTGAAAGGGCTTTACTTTTTTGTTGGGTGTAGACATGGTAGAACTAGCCTCATTCTTGAACTTCGAGGTGAACTGAAGCTAGACTTCATGTCACGTGCGGAGACTAGAGGGCACTGACAGCACCCCTCCCCCCAATATTTCTCCTATGATCAAACTGCCTCAGTTGCCCAGAGAACTTTTTGTCTTGGTAGTTCTTTATCTAAAATCCAGTGGAAAAAAATACATATCTAACTATATAAAACTAATTTAAAGAGCTTACATGGCACGACTGAAGAGTTTCTGTTCTTTTCTTTGTTACACTCCTTCTGCGCACTAAAGCATTCCACGTACTTTGCATTACACTGTGTCACCAGCTGAAAGAAAAACATTTCAGTTTTCATTTGAAGGTATAATTATGTCAACTAACCTTAGTGCGAGCATGAGTTTACAATATTATAAATCGTATGTTGTACACCTTAAATTTACACAAAACACAAAAATCCCGCAAGGCATAACCATATTCCTGGAGAACAGAAACATTTTTTGTGTGTTTCAGTACTGGTGCTTCCATTACCGTGGATTTTTTTTTTACCCGATGACGTGGGAGCAATAGTCACTGAATTGATATGGACTTTTCTGTTGATGTCACTGCTTTTCTGAAGTTTTTTCTGTAATTCCTCATAGGCATATCAGACTAGGAAGGATTGCTTCATGGTATTAAGAATTGTGTTTCTTGAAGAAGATACAAGTTCTCGATTTCTTAACTGATATTATTCTAAAGGCCACTATTAGTTCAATACTTAGTTATTATTCCTGCTTTTATTACTTGGTTGAACCACTTTGTCGAACCTGGGTGGGTTTTTTTTTTTGTTTTTGGTTGGGGGTGGGGAGAAGTTCTGTCTTAATGGAGTATTTGGGAATGGTTTCCTCCTTCAGCTGTCTTTGGCATCAGTGGCCCTTGGTGAAGTGTGAGTTTCTGATGCTTGTTTTTCCTTTCTACTTGTATCATCTAATGGTGAGTGCCATAAAAGAACCAGCTACCTGGTTTCCAGTGGAATGAACTGGTTTCTTTGATGCAGTTTTTATAAAAGCATGTATAAGTAAATGTTTCAGCAATGGAAAAAAAGCAAAATTTAGAAAATGTTAGTACAAGACACAAGTATCCTAATTATTAATTACCTCAAGTGGCTTTAGAGTAGTTAGGAGAGCTAGCAAAAAATCTTTTTTTTAAAAAAGATTTATTTTTACAAGAGCTGGGGTACAGGCCAGAGAAGTAGGGGAGTGTGTGTGAGAGGACCCAACAGAGACAGAGTGGGGAGCAGAACAGGCAGACTGACTGAAATACACTGCTGAGGGGAGCAGCGGGCGAGACAGGAGAGGACTGCCTCACCATATGGGTTGCTACCTGGCCGGCCAGCGATCAAACTCATGCTGCAGAAGCTGTGGATTGCTTCATAGTGCAGTGCTTAACCCCTTGCGCCCCCAGGGAGGCCCCAAAATAAACCTTTTTCATATCATGTGTTTGTTATAACTTGCTTGGCAGTCCAATTTATTCAGCTGAGATTCAGATGGAGTCTGAATCCATGGAGAGTTTAACCATGAAAACTAAGACTGTGTATGGATTTATCTCCTTTCCATCCTGACACAAAGTGAGAAATTAAAAGACTAATGAGAGACTAATAAATAGGAAAGTACTTAGTAATTGGGGAGACTGTTTGAAAATAACTTCTTTGAGATGACTTAGATTTTTGGATCTTAATTACTTTAATAGTCTTAACTGCCTTTATGCAATAATGTATTTAACCTCCCAAAGCCAGGCATTTCTTTACTTCCTTGCTCTTTTGCCAAAGAAATGTATCCAAAGCACTACCTTGAATTGTTTTTCCAGTCGTGTCTTTCCTCCTACTCCTGGTATGAGGATGCTGTTAACGTAGCTATGCAGCTGATTTGAAGATACTTCAGTCTCCTTTCCAAGAATGGCTTCCAACAAGGCATCATGGATGAAAATGTACTGCTCCTACAACAGACAGTAAATAGTCATCACCAAGGAGCACTCTGAAAAGGGTAGGTAGCCCCCTCTATCTGGGACATGGAGTCTACCTTCGATGACCTTTGCCCCAGCTTGCAGGGAATTCTGCAATCAGGTGCAGCTAAGTGCTTTGCTCCAACTCTTCTTCATAACTCATTTTAGTAGTGCAGCCAACAGGAGAAATGGGTCTTCAATGAAGGGCACTTAGAAGCATGTTCACATATTCGAGGCCAGACAACATGTTGAGCTCCCCAACTATCTGCTGTGTAGTTACTGAGAAATCCAGATTTAAGAGGCTCACAAAAATGGAAACCGGTGAGCCAAAGAATCGTTACCATGGTTGGGATGCCTTCTGATACAAACCTGTCAATTCCTTCAAGCCCTTAGAGAATGAATGTTTCTCCTCAGCACCATCTGACTTTGAGTTAGGAAACTGTGCTGGACTCCCACAGGAGCGCTGGCAGCTACTCCTTACCTCAGTCTGGACGAGGTAGTTGCGCTGTGTCCTGATATGCTTCAGGAATCCCAGGACATTAACTGTGCTTTTGTCTTTTATCTGTTGCAGCATGCTGTCTATTACAATGTAGGTGCCTGTCCTGCCCACACCAGCACTGGAAAAGAAATGAAGATATTCAACTTAGTGACTTCTGCTTTATTCTGTCAGTAACATACGACTAATCTCTAATGAGAATAGAAACGATACAGGTTATTCAATCCATCAACATCTGAAATCTGCATTAGGACTTTTCCTAGCTCATGAATCTGGAGGGAGAGAACAAATTGCTGTACACTTGCCTTTGCAGGCTCCCCTGAAGCTCAAGCAAAAGACATCACTCAGTGAAGCAGAGACCCAAAGATGTCTCTCTGGGCAGGAGCCTCCCCCACCAGAACCACATCTGTGAAGGCATGTGGCTGGTTTTCTACCTCTAATGATCCACTAACTGGCCTTTCAATAAACACACTTTCTGTACATCTCCCCCAGACTGTTCCTATTACCTGTAGCTTAATACCAGATTAATACTCAGTGTCAGAAAGTTCCTATTAAAAGGGGTGCCGCTTTCCTTTAGTGGTAGAAGAACAGCACATCTGGAAAGCATGGTCTCTTTTGTTAGTCACATTTCATAATTGTTATTAAACAAAAATCTCCAGAGGAGCTAAGTGCTGGAGTACTAACTAACACACTGCTTTTGGCAGATTCCCCTTCTCACACAGCTCCAGTAACAACCAGACTCAGTTTGATAGACTTTCAGTGATTCCTAAATGGGCTCGTTCTCATGGGATTTTAAACAGAAGATGGGTTCCAACTGCTGCAAAGGACTTTCTTTGTGTTAGCATATTATATGAACAGTCCCAAAGAAATGCTTAGAAAATGCTGAGCAGCTACCCAACATCAATCACAGAATGCAAAGTCTAGTTGAATACCAAAGCAAAAATAAGCTAAGAATGCAATCGCAAATGAAACATAATAAAAGCGTTTCTAAACAACTTGCTGAAGTTGTTTAAGGTAGTTAAGGAAGGAAAATAGGCTTTACAGAGGGCTTTCCCAGTGCTTTTTAAAAGGCATTTTATGTAACACATATCAACTAAAATTGAAAATCTTTTCATACATGCAATAAATATTATTCAGAGGAGCTATAGAGAAAATCCATGCACAAAATGTCAAATCCTGTAGGGTGGAAACTTGTATTTAAGCTCAGCTATTTGTTTCTATAGTAAGTGCATTCTTTCTATCCTTTGTCATCAACAGTGAGGATTTTATTAATATAAAATGACGTTATAAAAAGTAGAATGTCATGTTGTGAGAGCAGATTTTGTTATAACCTCCGATGCAGCAGATGCTTTCTTAATGGTGTGAGAACAGAGTTACTTCACATAACACTAACAGGTCTGACTGGCCTGGTCCCAGGGAAAGACCTGGTTTCTACACCAAGCACAGCGTGGCAGGGCCACAGCAGTCCAGGCTCACAAGACCACAGCCCTAGCTCTGCCCACTTCAAATGCTGAGCTACAGGCAAGGGAGAGTGAGGGGTGTCCTACCTGCAGTGCACCAACACAGGGCCCATTTCTGGCATTCGGGCTGCTGAGGATCGCCTCACGAAGGTCAGCACGGGGAGGGCATACTCGGGAACGCCCATGTCTGGCCACTGCGTGTAGTGATACTGGATTACCACCCTTTCATTCTGGCGCCCCTTAGGGTTCCCCTTCTGACCCTAGAGAAAGGTGAAAACAGAGGTCTTTAAACAGGGGTGTGGAGGGAGGGGTGTGTGGCCATCTCATGCCATGAGTGAGACCTTACCTGGCCGGAGAGAAAGTATCAGGTGTCTCTTAGGAAGAAGAGAAACATGGTTTAATATTGTAGCAAGAATGAATGTCTGATTTGGATCCATCCTAAGCACTTTGTAATTAGTCTACAGCCTCCATTTCCTGGGTTCCTGACCCAAGTGCACAAGGCCTCAGGGGGTGTTGGCGTTTATCTGGACCTTCGGGAACCTGTGCTGGCAGCTGTTGTGCACGTTCCAGGAAGTGTGGGGGGAGACCCAAAGTGACAAATGATTCTCAAATCTCCAGAATCAAAAGCAATAATAAATTTGTCTGTCACTTTCATAAATGAGATCTGCAAAGTAGTTTTCCTTTAAGGAGTGGAACATTTTACATTTTAACTACTTTGGATGAAAAATGTCCAAGATATATCAATGGCTGTGATTTTTTTTTTTTTTTTTTTGGTGATATGATTTTTTGATGACTCAGGGTCATTAATCAGCATTAAAGCTTGTAGGGTGTTTGGCTTTGTGCCAAAGGCTTTCCATGGTTTTAACTTTTTAAGTGTTCTGTTAACTCTCACTTTCCTGTTTCTTCATTTTTAGTTGTTTCCTTTTCTCGTATGCAAAATGGCTTAAATTCTTATTTGAATTTAAGCCATTTCTAAAATAAGAGCTGTAAGTGGGGGCCATGTTTTATGAGTGTAACATCCTCCTTTTGTTTGATTTGGTAGGTTATGTTTTGGACCTTGGAACATGCAACAATTTCCCCCCATAAATTAGCGGTAGTCATACCAAAGAGATTGCTCTACATTTGTACAGCTGGTAAAACCACTGTACAGGGGTGACTGGTTAGGTTGAGCCACCTCTAATGCTTTCAGAATATTGGAATTGAAAAGTTCTATCAACAAACAGAGGCTGCTATATTTGTTGCTTACCAAAATCTAGAAAGACCCTTTTTAAAATAATCGAGGCTTCATGAATAAAGAATTCAATCAGGATAGTTAAATGCCAGTATCTTTTATACCATACATTTATGTCAGTCAAAAGAGTTATGAACCAATTTTTCAGAAATAACTTTAAAAACCAAGTTGGTCATTCTCGTTTGGATAATTATTTTCATGCACATTTAAAAAGAGGCCCTGGCAGCCGGTCCAGTTCCTCCCATACCTTTTTCACTTTTGTATTTCTGATGGAAAAACGACGAACGGTGTAGCAGGCGTGTACTTTTGTGCTCTTCAGTGTGACGATAATGTTTCCATACTCCTCACTATTCTCTGTTGGCCAATACTGATCACATTTTCGCTGCAACAAGAAAAAAGTTGTAATTGTCCATGTGATTTCAAATGACAGTGTTTATCACATGGGAAGTTGGGCTGCAGTCAGTCAGGAGAGACCTGCTTATAGCTAAATTTGGGTCGCCAGTGGCAAAGAGGGACTCCACAGTCCAAGTGAAGCTGTAGCGATTCTGAATAACAAACCTAAACCTTAGTCCTGATTGCAGCCTTTCTTTGGTCCCACTGCCAAACTTTCTTCACCTTTTCTCCCTGCCCTTCACCTCAGAAACTTAACTTCTCTTACTAGTGTTAAGTACTTTGTCAAATATATGTGTGATATATGAATGTTCAGTATTTGTCTTTGTTGTTCTGACTTGCTTTACTGCACGAGTTCCTCCTACTCTGCTGGCTTAGCCCTTTATCAGTCTAAATCAGCCTCATCTAATGTAAGATCATAACCTAAAATTCTAAAATATCATCATCTTAAAAGTTTTCCTGATCATGGGCAAGATGTTTAAGCAAGCTTGTGCATCCCTGGGTCTGAACTATTGTCAATACTAGTTCCCTGACTACAAGTTTCTTCTTACTTCCTTGCTTTTGTTCTATCTGTCCCTTGTACCTGGGATGTCTTTCCTTCTCTTTTAAGCCTGCCTCACTGCTTAAATATCCCCTCAGCTATTAGCTCCTTTATAGTAGAGGCTGCATTTTCACCCTATACTTTCTTCATTTCTATCATCACATTTAATCTATTCTTGCAAGTACTTAGCTCTCTTTCTCAACAGACCTCAAGCAAGGTGTGGGTGGAAAGGACACTTCACTTCTGTAACTTCTTAGACCTGGTCAAATTGTACCCTAAAGCAGGTAGCCCAGGAATACTTTCTGAATGAGGGAATGTGATTAAGATATTAAGCCAAGAGGCTCTTACTCTTCCTTTTTCCACAAGATTCGTAATCATGATAATGATTCCAGTGTTTTGTTCCCAAATCATCCGCCAGAAATCTTCAAATGTAGACTTTAAAGGTCCCTGTGTGGCGATGTATGCTTTTGCTTTGTTGTAACCCTTCAAAGATGACACAGCACAAAGTAAGACGAAAGCAGTATCACGGAGTGGTTAATCATTCAAGTGCCTTCCATAGTGAATAGGCTGTGTTTCTAGTGAAAGCTCTTTGCAGTATTAAAAGGTGTTCATGGTCTCTGCAGTACCCTTCAATTACCAGAAACAGGCTTATAAAAAACATTTGACTTACATCGACATAGTTTGCATTAATGTAGTCGCTGTGCTTAGAGTCTTTTCCTGGTAAAGGTCTTAACTTCACCCTACTGTGATCATCTATAGAAGGAAAAAAAAATGTGTAATTCAAAATCTAGCAGCTTTCTAAAGCACAAAGCAAGGCAAACAGGCAACGCGGCATCTCTCAGAGCGCCCGGAGAAGCCCTTTGGCAGATAACTAAAAGTTCAAAGCCATCCCCAAAACCCAGGGGCACTTCTACCTCACGTACTGACCTGAGAGTACCCCAAACAGGCAAATTGAGGTTCTTTGTTAGTTCATGTAAAGCAACTGCAACCTGCAACCCTCAAAAACTTCCTTCTCCTATATTTCAAAACCAAGTTCCAAGGTCTTTGATTACCCACTTACAATGGCATCAAAAACCCTTAGAAATAAACTTATCAAAAGAAGCACAATATTTGTAAAATGTAGACATAAAACATTGTTGAAAGAAATGAAATTTAACCTAAAAGAAAGGGAAGATCCTGTCTTCATGAAGTAGAAGGCAATATTGTTAAGATGGCAGTGCTCCCCAAATTAATCTACACATTCAATATGATCCAAATCCAGATTCTAGCAACATTTTTGCAGTGATAGGTAAGCTGATCCCAAAATTTATTAGAAACACAAGGAAGCTAGAATAGTCAAAATAATCTTAAAAACAAAGTTGGACAACTCAGTTTTTTTTTAATTTCATAACTTACTACAAAGCTAGTAATTTAGACAGTGTAGTAGTGATATAAAGTGAGATAGACTTACTAATGGAAAGAATTGAGACTCCAGAAATAAACCCTTACTCTTTTTTTGCCTTCTTAAATTTTCTATTTAAATTTTTTTTTTTAAAGATTTATTTATTTATACAAGCACTGGGTACAGTCAGAAGCGCGGGAGGGTGAGAGAATTCACCAGAGCCAGAGCGGGGAGCAGAGCAGGCAGAAGGACCCAAGTACACTGCTGAGGGGAGCAGCGGGCGGCAGGAGAGGTCTGCGCACCATGTGGGACCCTCCTCCGGTGGCCGGGGAGCAGCTGGGGATCGAACTGGCGCTGCAGGGGCCGCGTGCAGCTTCGCAACCCAGCGCTCAACCGCTGCGCCACCGGGGAGGCCCCTATTTAATTTTTTGGAGGCAACACTGTATGAGGTAGAGATAAAGGATCAAACCACTTCAGATGTATGTTGTACCTCACACCCACCACCAAGGCACCCATATTCTATGGTCTGTTGATTTGTCAATAACAGGGGTGCTAAATAACTCAGCCTGGGGGGAGGGGAGGCATGAAAAGCTTCAACATTACTAATCATTAGAGAGATACAAATCAAAATCACAATGAGATATCACACTCAAAAATTATCAAAATGACCCACAAAAAAACAAAGTAGCAAGTGTTAGGGAGGATGTGGAGAGGATGGAACCCTCATACCTTGGTGGGAATGTAAAATGGCAGAGCCATTTCAGTAGTTTCTCAAAATTTAAGCATAAAGTACCCTATGGCCTAGGTATTCCATTCCTCTGTCTATACCTATACATGTCTACACGAAACCTAAACAAATGTTCAGAGCAGCATTATAGTAGTCAAAGTGTAGAAACAATTCATGTCTAACACATGAGGAATGAATAAGCAGAATGTGGTATCAATACCATGGAGCGTTTAGCTATAAAAAGGAAAGAGGTACTGATATACAGTCCAAATGGATAACTTTTGAACATACTCAGTAGAAGTGGGCACAAAAGGCCATATACTGGATGATTCCATTTATATGAAATGTCCAAATAGGAAAACATATAGAGATAGGAAGTAGGTTTTTCGGAGCTGTGCAAGAGGGAAAAATTGGGTATGAGGGTCTCATTGGGATACGGAAAATGTTCTAAAACTGAGATAGTGGCAACAGTTATACAACTCTCTCACATACTAAAAACCACTGTAATGTCACTTAAGTTTACATTTAACTTCAAATTGTGGACATTATAGTGTGTGTGTGAATTGTAGGTCACTGAAATAGTATGCTAAGAAGAGTCTTTATTATAGTGTTCAAATTTAAATGGTCCAATTTAAATACGCTATTATATAAAATTCTGTGTTATGTGTTATCATAATGTGTATTTACAATAAACAGCTGTGCCCCTGACCTTAATAGCAAAGCATATTTCTTCCATTAGTGATGCAAGCCTTAATGTCTGTGGCAGGTAGCATTTTGACCACATTCTGTGCTTAGGTGGTCCTCGAGGCTCCCCAAGAACAATGCCTATTAATCTGAATCCCAAACCTCCTGGATTCTCCTGACTTAAGCATATGGGCCATAAGGACCAGAGGCTCATCATGTAAGGTAGGGAGCTAAGGTAGTCTTAGAAAGATCACTTTGAAATTCAACTCTCTTGACTCAATTATTGGCATTTATATTGAAAATCTGGTTCTCACTGGCTAAAAGCAATGTCAGGATAGTCAAGTGACATTCCAACTGTGCTTCCCACGTCTGATATGAAATCAGTTCATGAGAAAATAGTGAAGCTCAGACCATTTCCTTTTCATCACCTTATTATCAAACTGGCATCTAATGAATGGCTAAGGAGGCAGAAATGTGCCCACTTCTTATACACCGGACATCGGGCTAATGAGGCGTTCTTGCAATTGTAATTCTTTCTGGACATCCTAATTCTGATACTTGGCTTTCAGCTTATACTCAGCATGAAGATCTAATTTCCTTGCAGTTGAGGAGAGTTAAAAGTTTATTACTCACATGCTAAAATGTTGATGTATCTGTTTTTGTGCTTGTTATCTGGATGATTGGAATGTTCTGCAGTAATGTTCATATCAGCTGTACAGCGCTGTACTTCCTAGGGATGAAAACAAGCAGAAGATTTCAAAGATTTTAGATGCATTTCACAAGTTTAACAGTACGGTTGTAGAAAGAAACTACAGATTCAGAGGCATGGAATATTACTTACTCCCCGGCTATAGACACCATTACCTCCCCAAACTCAACTTCAGGGGTAACTATTGACATAGCCGTAACAAATGTGTGAAAGATGTGAAGATAATTCATCAATCATCTACTTTATTCCACATTTTGATCTAGGCCTGGGATTACAAAACAGCATCTCTTTTTGAATGTGTCTTAGTCTGGTGGGTGAGAAAAATGTACAAGATGGTAATGACAGTCAGATGTGATTAGTAGAAAAGACGCCAGAAGAAACTATGATGGGAGCATACAGGAAGAGAGGAAGGTTTTAGACAGGAGATAATGCACCTGAGCCTTAGAGAATGAACAGGAATACACCAAGCAGAAAGATATTCTCAAGCATGATTTGCAATGTTTGTTGACTATATAACCTTGTTTAGAACTATCAGACTTCAGACAAGGACTCAGTCTGAAATGACACGGATCTTCAACCCAATAATCATACATGGCTCAGTTATGTACAGTCCTAGAGAATTACCTGTTATGTCCAACTTTACTTAAATTATCCTTCTTTAGAAAAACAGCCACGGAAGAAGTAACCCAGGTAAGGTTGCTGAAAAACTAAATACTTCTACCCTGTGTGCTCCAAACCCAACTAATCAGGGAGCCATTAGCAGTGCACAGATGCCACAAAGAGCAGGAGCAAAGTGACACAAAATTATCAGGAGAAATGTTTTACATGGAACAGATGTAACAGAGTTTAGGAACACAGAGACTTTTTTTCACAAAGGAATTGCATAGCAATTATGGATGTTTCCACAGCTTTTACATTAAGCATAAGGAAAACGAGGAGCTGGTTGTCTTTTCTAGTCACTTCCCTGCTAGGAGTCCCTCTCTTCTCTCCAAGGAGGAACTCACTGAAATCAAAGAATTTAACAAAGGTATGAACACAAAGGCTCCCTATTTAGTCACAGAAACCATAGATTCGCTGAGTCTTGGAAGCTGTCTATGGAATTTTTCACAATTGCTGGTCGTTCCAGTTGTCCACTAAAAAAATGAAAACGAAAAAGCCCCACAGGCATTAATTCAGCACACCTCTCTGGGGGAAGTTTGTGTTTCATGACAATCCCTCCTCTCCTCTGACTCTTACAAAATGGGACAAACTTTGCTTTTTTCTGTTCTATTCCAAAATGTTTCATAACCTGGAATTTGGCAAACTCAGGCTTCAAGGAGCTGATGGCCGCCTTCGGCTCTTTTGTCTCCAATACGACAATGAAGTGTGAGCACAAAGTCATGAGTCTCAGATCTGAACACCTATGAGGACAGAAGCAATGCTGGCCATAGTCAGAATATTTGGGGGACCCGCCTTTTAGAACTGCCTCAGAAGTCGGTAGTATATTCTTTTGAAAAGTATCCAAACAGAAAACCTTTAAAAATGGAAGTGTATTCTGAAAGACATTACGTTCGATCTATATACAAATCCCTGAATTAAGCTGAAATCCTTGGGCTCTGGGGTTTGGAAAACCATACCTTTGGCATATACCTCCTTCAGGTGTCTGATGCTGAGGTGTCTGGCTGGTGCTGAGAGGTTTTAGCATAAAAATACTTTCATTTGAGATTCATCCCATTTATTGATATTTGTCCCCCTTCTGTGTGGCTCTGTTTGCACTGGCCATAGACTGAGGCTGGGCCTCTATTATAATATAATGCAATTGACCAGTCTGCTTGGGAGCAGCTGTCTGCACTGTTTAAAGCAGTCATTCAATATGGCCAATCAAACGCTTTGTTATCTAAAACCTTTGGTCAGATCTGTTGCCTCTATTCCACTTTTCCAATTATGTGAATGATAGAAAACAAAGAATAGTCATAAATAATGTTAAATCTGATTTTATTAGAACCCCGGGGGTTTGCCTAAGGCCTCTGACTTTGTCTTGTGGATAATAATGTCATCTGTAATTCCTTGCAGTGCTGCTTGGCTCATTTAGATGCTGATAATATCATCTGATCCTGGAGTGGCTTTTCTCTATCAGAACTGGCATTTCAAAGTTAATGTGATTTTAATAGGTGTTAAAACCCTTTGAAGTGACACTGGCTGATGGACTGTGTGGAGTAGTGCTCTATTCGGCGCTGAAACACAGTTTAATATTTAAGCTTGTTTGTATTGGACTGTCTATAACAAAACTCGAATTCTCAAAATGAATATTCTGAGTATCACCAGGCACATGCCCACAGACAAGAGCTAACCAAAAGCAAGAGGTTTCCAATAAAGTCAAAATTTAAAAACGGACACAGAAGAGCACTACAAGTGGACTGACTCAGAATTCTCGGGAGAGGACCAGGGCTGGATGACCTTATGCCTGGTGTGGCTGAAGCCAGAGGCTGTCCAAGGGCAGGTGGGGACCCAGTTTTCTACCATTTGTGGCTCAATTGAAAATAATAACTGAAGAAAAATACATCCAGCAATCTTTCAGAGTCCTCAGCTTCACAAAGCAAGCCGAAGAGAGAATATTCTGGACCTGGTACCAAGTGTTAGACGGAGCGTATCTAACATTCTCAGTCTGAGCTCGGGCGGTCCCCACTGTGTTCAGGGAACTGTTCCACAGACTCAGGAGTTCAGCCCAGGACAGCAGCCCCAGGCTGAGTGTGGGACACAGAAGCAGCCCTCCCGGTACTGCTTCCACCGTGTCTCGCATTTCCCTGCCTCTCCTCTGAGCACGCTACAAACTGTGGCTATGCTGCTTTTCTCCTTGCAGCTTTGACTTTGCTATTCTCTTACTCTGAGACTTTGGACAGATTCCAAATTCCTGAGTGAGGCTTTCCCATCCTATCTCCCGCTAGCACCCTTCCCCATGCCAGACAGTTTCGAGTCTATTGCTTTTGAAAGACCTCATGATTTCCTGCTGTTGCCTCACTGCCATTACCTGTTCTTCCCTCCCGGTCTGAAGCCACAGGCCTTTATCGAAAATGATGGCCTTACCCCTCCAGGAACCCAGCCCACTTTTGGAGAGCACTACATCGTAGCGCCTACTGCCCTGTAGCTAATCTTTAAAATAACTTTCCTTAGGTGATTTGTGAGATTGGGTTAAGTCACTTTCCCCCCTCAATCTTTATAAAAACTTCGACTTATCTCACTATGATTTTTTTCATATGGAGGATTTAAAATATTTCTCTTGAAGCTATTGAAGACGCAGCTGGCATTCTGTCACAGAGGAAGCTCTATGGGGTCTTCTCTGTCCCCGTGCACGGAGGCAGTCTACCCTGGGACTCCACGCCACGCCGTGGCGACACTACATCTCTGCATCTCACATGATGTCACTGTGGCCACTGGTCCCTCAGCACATGGGCTCAGGTGGACAAAGCTTTGTTCTCTTGATTTAGGATGAGCAACCGGCCCAAGTTTAGCTCAGCTTGAGTTAATTGGAACAGAGGCGATTCCCCCAGGATCTCATCAAGGGGTATGGGACCTCTGGTCTCATCTCTGCATTCAGCTTTGCTTCAGACTCCTGCTTATTAATTCCCTTGACCCCAGAGCCTCGCTCCTCCCTTTTCTTCAAAGAGTGTGCTAACATTGCACCGTAGAAGCCTCTCGGATGATGACTGTGAAGGCTGGTCAAGAGGGAGGCTGAAGTCTATGCAGGTAATGGATGGAATATTCATGAACAGTATATTGAGACAAGGATAAATGTAATTTCCAGTGACTGCAGTATCTGCTAGAGGTATAATGTCCCTGCTTTGAACAGTCTCCAGAATATGTCTGATCAAGACAGAAACCTTACTTTTGGCATCACTTCTAGCCCAACATCAGCATTGCCACCGAATTATTTTTCTATTTCTCCTTCAAGCCACAAAGTTCTGAAACTACGGCAGCTATTTAATAGGTGGTTTTTTTTTTTTTTCCCATTTCCATCTCCATCCAAGATTTTAAACCAAGATGGGGCAAGTAGAACTCTGAAAAAACCACTCAGAATTCACAGGAGCCCTTCTCCTGTCTCCTCTTCCAGAGCTGTTCGTATTGGTACTTACTCTGCATTGCCCTCTTCCTGCTTTACTTGTGTACATTCTTGTCTCCAACATGCCACCCCTCGCCCCCCATTTCCTTGTGACTGAACTCCCAAGGACAAGGTCTCTATTCTCTGTGCACCAATATAGATCCAGAGACTAGGAGGCACTCAGTAATTTTGATGAGTTGTTTTATCTCCTCTTAATGGCCAAGTATCAACTGTTAAGTGCTATTTCTCTATAATCTTCACATTTGTTTGATTAATTTTAGGTCTCCATTCAGATTGGTACTACATTTTTAATGACAGATTCATAACTATCTGGGAAGTTTCTAGACTCTAAAGATCAGGGTCCTAGCACTCTTAGTCAAGGACTCCTTATTTTGGTTGCTCTCTGCAACCCCCTCCCCCCGCCTTTTTTGGTGAAGGCAATTACTGGCACATGGATTATTACATAGTCAGTTCTAGACAGTCACTGACAATTTTGGTTTCTTCTCCTGACTTCTGTTTAGGAGACAGTTAATGAGAGCCTGGAGGGCTACAAGGTGAACAGTGGGCTTGAGACACCCCGATCTTAAGCCCACTGCTGCCATTTCAAAACAGAGCCCCCTGATAGCACAGCTTTCTCATGGACAAAATTTCCTCATCTATAAAACGTACATTAAAACAGTTCTCGCTCTGAGGACTAAGTAATGCGTGCGGTATGCTATGTAAACAGAAGCCACTGCTATTCCACAGAAAAGGACCTGGAAATCTGGGGTGCAGCTAACTGCTCTCTTACAAGCATAATCAGGGTCTTGTTTTGCTGTCTTTCAATTTACACAAAATCTCTCTCTCTCGGACCTTCCTGCTGTCGTCTGTCTCTTGTTTGTAAAATAGCCTGAACAGTTGCTTCTATAATCAGTTATCAGTTTTCCCTTTTACCAGGGCTACAATAAAGGAATAATTCCTGTTTTAAAGTAGTTCAAATTTTCCCTAAATTAGAAGATGACAATATGTTAGTACACTTTTATACTGTCTGGTCCTCAGCCCCCCTCCCTGTATGTTGCTGCCTTATTCACAGAAGAAAGGATAGTCTTCCTATTTTGATTACCTGATTTTAAACCTTTCAAACCAGAAGAGATGGGAAATGACAGTGCAGAACAATGCCTCCTGCCTCCCTCCTCCCTGCCTCGCCCTCCCTCCCACTCTCTTAACCACCAGCTAACTAATGCTTAAGCTATAAAGTTCAATATAGGCGACAAAAGCTTCTAGCCATAGTATTTTTTTTAAGGGTAGAAAAGGGTGCAGATGCCCAGGATTTGTTAAGAGGCATGATTTTGATGCTGCAAAGCCCATTTTAAGTCAGATTAAGTTTACAGAGGTGTAGCTGATTATTTTGAATAATTAAATGGTGTCAAAACCAGCTGTGATGAATAGCACTGGGGTCTCAAATCATAAATAATTGAGAAACTGGAGTTGCATTTGATCATCCTGATCAAATTCTGATCTCCAGAGGATAAATGTTTGTCCTGAATACCATCAACATTGTTAAATGCCTCAATATTCTTGCTCAGTCATCCAGCCAACAGTCAATTGAACTAAATCACTTTAACACCACACATATTTGCTGTCCTCATGAATACAAAATGTTTGACTTTAAACCATGTTCTTTGTAGTTGAATAGGCACCTTTTTTGGGTAAGCATCTAATAGCCACATTAAATACTTGACATGTTTTTGTCTGTTCCACAAAACATATGACACTGGAAAATAAATCAGAGGGCTCCTTTTTTCTACCACTTTTGCTTTGAGCCTGCTCAAAATACAAAATATAAACAACAAGCTAAGAAAGACTTCATTAAAAATGATTCGTTGATATAATTGCCTTTAGGATGGCCTTTGCGACTCTGGATTTGCATAGCGACAGGGGCCTAATTTTACTTCTCATGGTCCTTGCAGAAAATGTCACCTGCACGGCTCCTGGAGCACGTCAAAGTGCACCCTTCCATTACTCTGCATTGGCTCACGTAACCCACTGTGTGCAAAGAGGCGGGCAGGTGAGCAGCAGCATCATAGTTTCCATTTTAAAGTAGAAATGAGACAGAGAAAGGAACCGATTCACCACAAAGCTAGAAGACAGCTGAGCTGCCATGAAAACTTGGCCTCCTCGGCACAACTCTTGCTGCCAGAGATGTGCCTTAGTTAAGCGCCTCAGTGAAGAAAAGGGCAGTCTGTTTAATAGCTCCTCATTGACACCCTGTCACTGTTGAACTGGCACAGAACCCAGAGCTGGCAGGGTGATGCGTGCTGCTCTCCACCTTGTTTCCTGCACACCAGTTCTTAAAATCAGAAGGCTGTGTTAACCCATGTCTTCTCTCCAAGGATTAATGATTGCGAAAACCACCACTATCAACCTTTGCATGGGCTTAACAGTTACCCTAGCACTTTCAAAGATGTTAATCATTTACTTTTTCCAACTTTAGGATATAGGTGGCATTAACACCATCTTAAAAAACGAGGAAACAGGATCAGAGATGAAGTGACTGGTCCAAGGATAATGAAGCTCATGAGCACGGAGCCAGTATCCGCTTAGCCAGGCTTCAAATTCGCTGCCTCCTCTACACTGTGTACATCCCAGAGAGGACGTGGAATTCAGAGTCCTGTCCTTTGTAATATGACGGTTGTCCCAGTTAGAATTAAGATGAAGAGAGAACTCAGGTTTGCTCTTTTCTATCACTAAGTCTGCTACAGAAGTACGTGGTCAGGACACATGCAACTTTACTGGGACAAGAATGCTGGTTAAAATTCTAAGTGTAAAGAAAGGAAAAAGGAAAAACAGTCTTCGCATCCTCACTTATTGCCGTCTTTGGAGTAAATTCAGTTTTCCAAAAACCCCTGTAAATAAGAGCGAGGCTTCTAGAAATTAATATAGTTTTGATACATACCTCAAAATCCTCAGAAAACCCATGCTGGTTATTAGAATAGAGCTCACCGATGTGTTTAACAAACTGTTTGACAGGAATAGCTTCCATGTCATCTGTGGGAATAAAATGACATTCAGAATCACATAAAATTCTTCCATAAGACAAATAACGCTGATAAGGGATTACAGAAAACAAATACATGATTTTTGCAAAGAGTGATATAATTGTATCATATGAAATAGATGTTCTCAAGAGAGGTCTCAGGATTTACTGTACATTAGGATCTCATAAGTTTAAATGCCTCTCAACTAGATTGAATACGGTTTATTTAATAAAGGCATATAATTACCATTTTTTTGTATTAAGGCAATTTATATAGTTAAATTACCACATGCATTCCTAACTAAAAGTCTGAACTTACCAAGGCTAGATAAACATTTTATGGTAACTTAAGGTGGGTTTTTTGTTTTTTGTTGGTTTTTTTTTTTTTTTTTTGCTATTCAATTATTCAATTGGGGTCCAGCTTGAACTTGGGGCAATACAGTTCTATTTCCAATCTCTGAAGTCTAAGCAATCTTTATACACAATTACATGTAGGTGTCATTGTACTAGTTGGCTTTGGGTACAATGCCTTCTATGTTTAAGTGTTCAAGATTTTAGTTCAAGACAGCTGTGTCTACACGATGCCAATTAATCAGTTAGACGGAATTAACTGGATTTTTTGGTGTTGACAAACTAGGTATAGCATCATGAAGACCATACATTCCAATTTATTGTAGTGTTGTCACTTCAAAGGACATTTTTAGTTCATGAATCCCAAGTATGTTAAAAGCTGATTAACCCAGCCCCAATTGATAGAGTGCTGTAAAAGTGCCACACCCCACTCCCTGGAGCTCCAACCCTCCTTCTTCTCTTCTTCCCTCGACCCTCCCCCGCAAATATTTCCTTTTAAAAATACTCTGCTGAATTTGAGATAAACAACAGACATGACATTTACTTTATTCAGAGTGAAAGATCTTTGGCAAACGCACAAACATCTAAACTGCCACAGATGCTTTTCTTAGCAAAGGGTATGAAGATCTGTATGTGTAAATGAGGTCCTACTTTGGCAAGAATGTTATAGATCCAGGCCTGACAATCTGATTTCTCTTCATCTGGTGACAGTTAACATTGACTATGTCATTCCTTCTCTACTTTCTTTCGAGAGAGCAAAGCTCTAGGGTGGCTTTTTGCATCTATTGACATTTTCAAACTTGAATCATTCTTAAGTGGAAAATAGCATCTCATACTTTGTTTAAGGAAGGTGACTTATATGTTCATAATCCAAATTGCTTTGCATGGAAATGTTACTTATCAAATAGGTGGTGTTCTGTAAGCACAAATTCTTTCTGTGTGAACAATTAAAGACCTAATCATTTTAATAGGCCACCTTATGAAAAAAAATTGCCAAGTTATTTACAAATATTTCAGGATTGAAGATGTTCATGAATATGCAATCATTTTGCACGCCCAAGAAATCTATAGCGCCCATAATGATGTAACCAGCGTTAACAAAGTAAGCAGAGCCAAAATGTTTCCCCGAATATTTAGCAGAATGCATGGTTAAAAAAAAAAAAAAAAAACCCTCCAAAATTATCTAATCACTTCAAGTGATTAGAAGTAAGCATAGTATGATTCTATGATAATGAACAAGTGGTGAGGAAGTAAGCTTAACTTGAGAAAAGGGTTACTATGTACAAACTGGAGAGTCTAAAAGATTAACCAAGGATAAACTCATTTTTGGACAAGAGGCAAAAAATTAGCTAAAGGGCCAGAGCCAAGTGTCACAAACACTCCCGTATTCAGAAGGCAGCAGTTCTCTCCTATTTTTTTTAGAAATGAAAGACAAAACTATTTCCAAGGATAGGGTGACACTGTTAACAGTGTAATAGGCTGTGGACATTTACTCCATAATGTTAGTGTAGAATTTCAGATTCCTAATAAACAATAAACTTATGGTGCCATGATTAAGCAAATGGACTCTATTTAAAAACTAAGAAAAGACAATGTTAACTTTAGAGCTATTTACTCGGCACACCACAGTGCTTTAAAGGTTGTGGCTCATCTCAGTCATTAAAAACCTGTGCTTTCTATTATTTTTTTCCAGCCAACTGGTCAACATAATGCCTTTCTAGCCTGTAAATCAAGTCTGCCTCATATGTCCATGGCCTGATGCAATGAAAATCCATCAGAGCTCAGTATGATGATCCTGGAATAAGACTCACTAGTGTCTCCAATTTGCTTCTTTACCCAAGGAAGTTTAACCACAGCTCACTGCAGCTCCAGGCAGCAGTAACATCAAAAAACCACCAGGCAGGCAGGCAGGCAGGCAGGCAGGCAAGCAGACACATGCAAGCAAACACACACACACACACACACACACACACACACACACACACACACACACACCATATTGACCACCATCAGCTCCCCAAATAGCACATTATTTGTCTTTTAATCAAGATAAATGAAGTTGAGTCGTAAGTTTTTTTCTGAATATTAAGATGAATTTAAGGTTGTGATTAATTTGAAGTCCTAATGGTTTTCTCTTATATAGTTTTTCTATTACATTTCTCTCAACATATGCCAGATAATTATAAAATTACTGCAGCAGAAGGCCAAGCAATTAGGACAGCATCAAAGATCTGATCTGCTGGGTCTTTATCTGGAAAGGCTCTGGGTTATAAGATATCCATGTATACAATGTTATTTCACCTAAACATCGGAGTTTGATTTAAAAATGCAGAGAGTACCAGTGACACTAACTGTGGACCAGGCACTTTCTATGCTCTTACATGTATTAACGCATACTCAGTCCTCTTCAAACTCCACACTCCTCAGTTGAGACATTTAGCTCAGAAGGACGCACTGAAGCCTGGGGAGTGGCAGCAGCAGCTGGCCTCAGACCCAAGGTAAACAGTCCCTGATCTGGAGAACAGCTCTCATTTGGGTCCGTGAATGGGAAACCACTGGGTGAAGCATTTACTAATCACCTAGGACTCAGCCAGCTATTAGGGACATTATCTCTGCCCAAGAGCAACATTTTTATTGGAGAAATGACATTTTTATTGGAGAAATGAGAAGATGAGAGGAAGAACAGCATGTTACTATGTGGTGAAGACCTCTAGTGCCACAAAAGGTGGATCTGAGGATTTAGGTGAGAATAGATGCAACTGAGGAGTGGTGCTGCTGGAGAAGCATAAATAAAGATGAGCTGGAATCAAAAGTAATGATGTCTCCACTAACTGCAGGGTAGATGGAAGACTCTGGTACAATGAGAAAGCGTGTATAATGATAGAGCTGGTAGGAGAAGAGAGCCGCCACTTATTAAGCCCTGACTGGTTATCAAGGACTGTGTGAAATGCTCTTCCTTCATTTATCTTTTCAAGAACTGGGTTAGCCTCACCTTACACATAAGGAATTTGAAACAGGTTGTGCAAAGTGACACAATTACTAAGTGGCAGAGTTGAGATTTGGATGCTGGTGTGCTGAGCCCAAAGCCTGTATCCCCATGCATTGTGATATACTGTCTTCATTCTCAAAGCGGCACGATTTCAAGGAAATTAACAGTATTTGGGCTAATCTGTAAAATATTGCTTTATAATTCTGAGCAATGTCTTCATTTATAAAATTTTCAAATGCCAAGGTTTAAATGAGGCAGAAGTAGAACCACTGGAAGTGGTTTGATACAGAAAGTGCTTGATATAGTCAGCTGAGAATCAGCACCTGAGAAGTAGATTTATTGTTATTAAATAATATTTACACTGTTCTAAGATTTTAACCCTTGGTAGTTGGAGTTAAATGATATGTAAGAGCACTTTTATTTTGGTCAATCCATGACAAAATGCCTTTATGCATCATTTCTGATGAAACTTGAAATTAATAAATAGCATTCAAACAAGGTGACTATTTACCGAGAAGAAAGTACCAGAAATACCAAAGCTGAAACATTTGGAAGGAAAAAAATGTCAATAATCTTGATCTCAAATGCAACAGTTAGAAATTAAACAATATATTTGAATGTAAAGAAAGGCTGTTTCCAAAATCTGCCACTATGTCTCTGCTGTATCCTCTGAGACACTAGGGGGAAATGACCCAAACTTTGGTCTGTGCTCCTAAGCTACTTTCATTTACTAAATATGTTTTAATTTTAAAGAATGACAGATAAAAGGGGAAAAAAAAACCACAAAAAACCCTTGGCTTTCTTGACTGCACTTAGAAAGGGAATATCTAATTCGAACATCTACCATGGGGAGGCGCTGGTGAAGCCCCAGCCCGGGACCCAGCTCAGAGGTAGAAGGGTCTTCATTCAGCCTTGACTGGGCACAACTGTTTAGCCACCATTCTTATAGGCCACCACTGACATAAGGCTTCCTGGGTAGGGGGCAACCAGCGGCAGTGGTGCGGATGGCAAAGCCAAAGCCAGGCTGCCTGGTAGTGTGACTTCACCTCCGATCCCTTCCCTTGCTGGCAAATGGGAAGAATAACCGTCTAACTCATAGTGTTAGGAAAAGTAAACAAGATATCAAAAGCAGTTATAGGTGTGCTTGGCATTTAGTAAATGCTTAGTAACTGGGATTTACTATTATGTAATGGTTGTTTTACATGCATGACCCCACATCTCAGGGCCATAATTACCTACATTTTGTAGATGAGGAAACTGTGGTTGAGACAGACCAAGAGGGTTGGCTAAGGGGTTCACTGACATTGTCAAGTGGAGGACCAGAATGACTCCAAAGCTGGAGTCCACCTTAGGCCTTTCCAGAGAGCCGAAAATGATGACGCAGAATTACAGAGGGCAGACAACCACATAATGCATTTTGAAGAAACTGTCCAACAAAGAAGGGCTGAAAAAATGTGCTCTGGCTCTAAGGGAAATTTCAGGTACCTGGAAAATGTACCTGGTCTACCGGTCACCATAGAGATGCCAGTGAAGAAAAGTGTTTTGGTATTTATTTACCTTCCTGCCAGGATGCTTAGCTGCTGAGAGTGATTGGCTTAGTTAGGGTCTTTTAAGAAAATATCCCTGCTTGCATACTCTGGCGGGGTGTGGGTACATGTATAATCGCTATTA